ATGATGGAGAAGTTCAGGGTGTCATAGAGGCGCACTCGAGGGACACTTAACTCAATCCTGGAGGGTCAAGCATCCACTCTGAGGCCTGGGGAATGGGTCAGAGTTGTCCAGGTCAGATACGGGGGACAGCAGAGCACTACAAGGTGAAATAGCATATTGTTGTTGTTAGTGCCATAGAATCGTTCCAACTCCTAGTAGCCCTGTGTATAGTAGGGCGGAATCCTGCCTAGTCTTTTTGTGCCATCCTCCCACCTGCTGGCGCTATATCAGACAATGTTCCATTGCTATTCACAGGGTTTTTATGGCCAATCTTTTTGGAAGTGGGTGGCAAGATCCTTCTTCCTAGTCTGCCTTAAATCTGGAAGCTCCACTGAAACCTGTCCACCATGGGTGACTCTGCTGGTATTTGAAATCCTGGTGGCACAGCTTTCAGCATCAGAGCAACAAGCAGCTGCCACAGTATGACAACCGACAGACAGGTGGTGTGGCTCTCTGACGGGAAATGAACCCAGCGTCATGGTGGTGAGATCGTTGGATCTTAACTCCTAGACCACCAGGGCTGGCTGAAATAGGATAACTCTGGTATTAACTGGAATTTGAACTGTGTACTAGGCAGCCACCTAGATGGCTCCTGATTTTCATTCCCTTGTCTAGTCCCCTTGCCTTGAGTGTGAGCTGAACCTAGTGACTTGCTTCTAATGAAAAGAATATGGCAAAAGTGATGGCATGTCACCTAATCTGAGGTTAGGTTACAAAAACACTTTGGCTTCCATCCATCCCTTTCTCTGACTTTCTCATTTTCTCTCTCTCTCTCTCTCTCACCTGCTTGCTCTGTTGGAAGCCAGCTGCCATGTTGTGAGCTGCCCTATGGAGAGGCCCACATGGCAAGGAACCAAGGACAGCCTCCAGCCAACAGCCAGTGAGGAACTGAGGCCCTCAGTCCAACAGCACTTGAGGACTGAATCCTGCCAACAACCACGTGAGTGACCTTGGAAGCAGATCCTTCCCTAGTCAAGCCATGAAATGAGACTGTCCCAGCCAACACCTTAATTGCAGTCTTGTGAGAGATCTTGAACTAGAGGCACCCAGCTAAGCTGCACCTGGATTCCTGGATCACAGAAACTATAGGATAATAAATGTTTGTTGTTTCATGCTGCTAGGTTTTAGGGCAATTTGTTACGCAGCAATAAATAATTATTACAAACTTTAAGAGGGGGAAAACTACAAGTCAGGAAGTTTATTCTCCATCCTGGTTATTCTCCATCCTCCCTGCAGTGGGGAAGAATTGCTGTGGGGGGACAGAAAGGATCTTCCCTCCAATTCTCTAGCTCCGCTTATCTCTTTCTACTGAACACCACATACTAAGGACAGTGCTTCAAACGTATACCAGCCAGAAAGTGGTCTCGCCTGTTCCACAGCAGGCCCTGGAGGTCCAGATGAGGTGAGGCTCAGTCCTTTTCTCCAGTGGGGAAGAAATAGGCTTAGAGGAAGGAGAGAGAGGGAAGTGGAGCCCCAAAATCCCAAGATTCTCTCTTTGGTTTGTTTGTAAAGGTGAAATTAAGTGTTGGCTGATTTATTTATAACCAAAATGCAAACACTTGAACTAACCCTGACTATGTTTAATGGGAAAACAGGCTGAACTAAGATCTAGTGTGTGGAAAAGCAAGTACTACTGTGGGGCAGAAAAATGAAAATACATCAGAGAGAAGGGGCTCCTACTGATCCTGGAACCTTAAGTCACTGTCCACCTACATGGAGACCCCATAGTCCACCTGGGTTCAATATCAGAGTCTTCCTCACCAGCCATGGACTCCCTTTGCCCACGTCCCTTGTCCCACAGTAACTTGACTTTCTTCAGTATATTGTACACAACTAGTAGGTGGGATCCAGACTTCTGCCTGTCAGGAATGAGCAAATATTAATATATTAGTATCAACGACATAGGATTCATACCTAATAGGAGTTTTAAAGAAGGCTTGAAGTCTATAATAACCACCATCAAAAGAATGCCAGAATAAAAGAACTCTGCTGATTTTCCCTTCCTGGGGTCCTGGATCCAGCTGCAGTTGAAAGAGTTCTTTATCCTGTTTTCAACGTTTAAAAAGTTTAAGGGAATCATGTAGTCATTTCTGTTATTGCCACATAGGCTAATCAAAAGGTCATTTTTTTTTCTTCATAGAAACGTCTTCTCATAGGAAACCAAATTTCTTTTTTGTTTCTCAGTTTTATTGAGATGCAATTGACATAAAACATTGTATTAGTTTAAGGTATACAATGTAATGATTTGATATATATATATATATAGTGAAATGATTGCCACAATAAGTTTAGTTAACCTTCATCTTAACCTTCATCGCCTCACATAGTTACAAATTTTTTTTCTTGTGCCGAGAACTTTTAAGACCTACTTTCTTAGCAACTTTCAAACATACAATACGGTACTGTTAACTATAGTCATCATGCTGTATAATACATCCCCAGATATTTGTACCTGTTGACCACCTTCACTGGTTTTGCCCTCACCCCCCTTTCCCACCTCTGGCAATCACCAGTCTGTTCTCTGTATCTATGAGTTTGAGGAAACCAAATTTCTTATTACCCGGTAAATATATTCTGTTAGGGATATGGAATCTTTCAAAACAAGAGATCCACGAATGAAAATAAAGAATACGTGATATTCTTGATCTCGAAAAGTCTGTGAATCATTAGTTTTAATCAGCTCCCTTATCTGAAAGATGAGAAAATAGATTGTGTGAGGTTAAGTGACAGCCGGTTTGTGGCAGAAACTCTGCTTCTAGAACTCAGGTCTCCTGGCTATGTGTCCAGCAATTGTTCTACTGCTCCATAACAACTCTCCCTTCATGGAAAGCCCATCTTGTGAAGGACAGATTAAATTTCTTACATGTTTAGACAGAGGCAAGAAGCAAGAAATAGTGGTGGAAGTTACAAAGAGGAAAATTTTTGTTCTGTTTAACAAAAAACTTTTTAACAACAGTTGGAACTGTTCAACCAGGGAAGGAGCTTCCTTAAGAGTGTCTGGAAAAACTGTGAAAAAATTAAAATGGCAAAAAAAAAAAAAGAAGATGAGTGGGTGTCTATGGCATGCTAGGCTTTGTCTAACGCACCTTTCTGGGTTATCTGATTTTACAACAGTCTGTGCCTTTGATGGTCTTGTAGCTATTTTTACAATTCTGTAAATTGTAGAAAACTGATAGTAATGCAAATGATTCTTGTTCATAGAGATGCAAATGAAATTTTCCTGGTGGAGCTGCAATTCATCTTCCCTGACACCCAGAAGCTCGTTTTACGTTTATTAACACATTCATTTCAGAATTCCTGATTGCTTATATATATGTAACTGCTCTTTGGGGTCTCCTCTGAACCCAAAAGAGGATTCCCTAGTTACTTAATGAGTTAAATAAAATCTTTGATGTGTGCTCATTTTATAGTTGTATGAGAGTCATGATTTTATCCTTTTAAAAACAATTATCTTTTGCCGGGAGGCCTAGGGTGTTCCTGCCCTGGATGTGTTCAGACAGAGGCTGAATGGTCATCCTTGATCCTTAGTACAGACTCCTATGGTTCTTTTCAGACCTGTAATGTAAAGAATTGTTCACATATCTGTCTCCCTAAGGAGAATCTCTTTTCCTGAAGCGCGAGGACCTAGCTATCCCCACTAACAAAAATTTGTTATGGGAAGGAGGTGGGATGTGCGATTTCTGATTTACTCACCTTTTCCATTTAGGACCACCAGGGGGCGGAGTAGCCTTCCTTCCCTTTAACTAAGGACGGGAGACTCCACCTAGTGCGCGCCTGGGGTAGAAGGAAGCCTCCAGAACTAAAGAGCGAGGATCAGGGCTGAGAAGGGCAGGGTTCCAACTGCCCGATCGCGTACAGACGATATCTTTATGGGAGGCAATGAAGTCAGCATGGAGCAGGCACTCAGATCGCAGAAGAGGGCAAAGTTCTGTTAGAATTATGAAAATATTTACAGTCCTGTGACCTGAATGCATAGAGCACCTTCTCTTCCTGACTTGAGAATTGACGGCCGCATATGTCTGCTGGATATGTCATTTGTTCCCAAGAAGGAAGGCAAACAAGGAAGAGGGAAGAGAGGGTAGGGGTGGGGAGAGGAGAGGGGATAAACAGGGAGGGGCAGTGCGAAGAACCCGCCCACCTTTTCAGAGGGTACACCCACCTGGGATCTTGACACCACGTAGGAAATGAGAATGGCTTACGCTTTCCAATACAAACATCTTTATCTCACAACGTTGCTCTATAGGTGACGAATCAGTCACCCCTCCTCTGTCACCCAGGCCTCACAGCAAACTGTGAAGTGGGTGTTATCTCTGATTTATTGATATGGAAACGGAGTCCTCTAGAGAAACAGCGCCTTTCCCAAAGTTATACAAATTGCTATTGGCAGGTGTTCTGACTTCAACACTGAACTGCTCGCATTTCTCTGCGGAGTCCCGATTGCCAACATCATGAAATCCAAATGCTTCGTCCCAGCCCGCCCCGTCCCACCTCATCTCTGGTTATTTCCTCTAGGAACGTCCTCTTTCAGATCCAATATGCAGTCCCCCACACTGTTCAAACTCCGTGACTTGGAATGCCCTTCCTCCAGGCGGAATTAGTTGCTTTTTCTCCCACCTATTATAGCACAAAACACACCGTCTTAGAGTTCTTTGTTTAGCAACGAATGAGTCTGTTGAGGCTGGATCCGAGCACGCAGCCTGGCACAGGTAGTGAATTGCTGTCGAATAGAAAGGATGGAATTGAGGTCAAACAGACCCCCTCGCTCTTCCTCGGCCCTGCGGCGGCATCTACCAGTGCCGGGCCCTCTCCGCGGATTTTTCTCGTCCCTCAAGGGACCCGGGCTAGGGGAGGTGGAGGGAGGGCCGCCGAGGGCGGCGGGGCGCGGGCCCTTTAAGGAGGAGCGCGGGGCGCGGCCCAGGTGAGGGGCGGGTCTGCGGGCGGATCAGCGCTGCGCGCCGGCGCCGGTCCGGGAGGCGGATTTGGAGCGCGCGGCGCCGGCGGGGCCGGGGGGGGGGGCGCGGCGGAGCTTCTCGCGGCCTCGGACGCTCCTCCTCGCCGGCGGCCGCCGCCCGCCTCTGCTTGCGCCTCCAGCTCGTTCGCCCTGGCCCGGCCCGGCTGCGTCTTCCGGCCGCTCACCTGGGACGCGCTCACCTGGGCGCCGGGGCAGCAGGATGAAGGACCGGCTGGAGCAGCTGAAGGCCGTGAGTCCGCCGCCCCCGGGGCCGGGTCCCGCCGGGGGTGCAGCTGCGCGGGAGAGGGGCTTCCCTACCTTCGCCAGATCGGCGCTGGAGCGGGGCCGAGCGCGAGGCCTGCCCTCCCCAAGCCCCAGCCGCATCCCGCGCGCGTTCCGCAGCCTCCCCTCCCCTCTGGGGTCGTGTGCCGGGTGATTCCTGGCTAGGCTGCGATTTCCCTGGATGACAGCGTCTTTCCAGAGCTGGGGTCCGCGCGGGGTGCTTGGGCCTAGCGGAGCTTTCTGTGGGGTCAGGGGTCACCTCAGCCCTTACCCGCTGCAGCCTGGCACTGTGCCCAGGACCAGCCTTCTCCTATCTCCTTCCTTGTCTCCCGAGCCGGCTGCCCTCTCCCCCGGAAAGCTCCTGGATGACCTCCGGAGCTGTGAGCTGGTCACGTGCCAGGATGGTGCAGCTCCTCGCCATCCGGCAGTCTATAATTATTAATTTCTCCTGAATCCTCAGGACAGCTGGATAGGGCAAAGGATCTGAAGGTAGACCGCCTCCAGCCCTGCTGCACAAAAGCTGTAAATCCTTAGGCTGCTTATTCTTTTGAGCCTCTGTTTCCTTATCTGTCAAATGGGGATGATCATACCTTAGAGATTTGTTATGAGATCAAATGACATAATGACCCCCGATATAGAAAAGTGTTAAACGTGAGTTTTTGAGTTAGATATTCATTGACTCATTCAACAAATAATTATTGAGTGCTGTCTAGGGGGCAGGCCCAGTGCTAAGCCCTGGGGATTGGGTGACACAGGCTCTGTCTTAATGGAATGTAAAATCTAGCTCTTGATACAAAGTCTTCCATCTACTTGGGAGCTTGGTAGAAATGTAGAAGCTTAGACCCCAGTCTGGACCTGCAGAATTAGAATCTGATTATTCACAAATCTCCCCAGTGATTTGTGAGCATTTTGGGAAGCAGGGGGCTGGATAGAACTGGGGTTGCCTCCTGGCTCCACTGCTAACTAGCTCTCCTTTAACCTCTGAGTCTAAGTTTTCTCATCTTTATAATGTGTGGTTGTGAGGACTAAAAGCAAGAGAGCGTGCAGAGCCCTTTGGATGGTGCATGACACATATAGGGCGAATAGATGGTAAATATTATGCTGAGAACTGTAAAAGCTCCTTGGAAAAATACAGGCCTCATATGAGTGTGAGGGACTCCTGGGATGATGTCGCAATTGTTTTTCTTTCTCCTCCCTCATCTTGGGCGAGACCTTCATGACCCTTTCACCTGCTCTGGGTAGTAGGGTGATGGGGAAGTGAGAGAAGCAAAGGGACAGTTGCTGATTGTGGGGTGAGCCTCCCTGCCTCCTACATGTCATCTGAGCCTCACAACATCCCGGTTACGGGGCAGAATTTATGGCCCCTATTTTTCTAGATGAGGAAACCAGAGCTAAGCCTGGGTAGGCAGGATGCTGCGGGTCACAGAGCTGGTCAGGTCACAAGCAGGGGAGGAACCCAGGCTCCTAACACTCTTCATGGTGCTCTTTCCCTGTAGCATGCTGGTTGGGGAGGCAGAAAGGAAAGAGGACCATGGCTTTTGAAGATCTTCCCTTATCAGCACACGCAGCAGTCATAAAACAATGCAAAACTGAACAGCAGGCAGAGGCGGCTCCCTTCCTTTAGTTAGGAAATCCATAGAGGAGGATACTCCATGGCCCCTTTCAAAAGCCCATTGTTAACAAACAGCAAAGAGTCTTCTCTGAGCTTTGGGTTCCAAGTATAAATTCAGGTTGCCAGGGAACCCAGGCAGTCCCTTTGCTTCTCCGAGCCTCATTCACCCGCTGTAAAACGGAGCTAATGCTCTGTTTCCTCCCTGCACCTCTTGGGGATGTGGTGAAAGTGAGACTATAGACGGTGCTGTTATTATGGGGGTGCTGTTCTCAAGTCATGGGTGCTGCTCTAGGGTTTGGAGCAGGGAGATGGGTGTTGACACTGTGCAAAGAGGACTGGGCTGCAGGTTGAAAGGGTTCTAATTGTGGCTCTGCCACTTAATAGCTGTGTTTTGTGTCACTTTACTTCTCTGCTTCTCTATTCCCCCTTTGCAAAACCAAGAGTTGGGTGGATCTCAGAAGCCCCTCCTGGCAATATTAAAATATTAATGTTTTCCAAGAAGACTGTTGTTAAGGTTTATATGCATTTTGGTTTCTAGTTCACCTTCTGCCCCTTTCCTCTGGCCCCCAGGAGAGAGATCGCCCTCACTGCAACAAGATTACTATCTTCTCTCTCTCATTCCTTTCATCAACGAAAGGCAAGGCGTTTGTTAACAAGGCGTTTGTTAACTCGCATCAAACTGATTTTACATTGAGCAGCCTGTGCAATCTCTTTCTGTGGGATGTTTCTAAACCCTGGGGGAGGGGAGGTGATAACTACCTCCAGATAGCTGGAGGGCTGTCATGCGCAGGAGATTAGCTTTGCTCTGTGTGGATACAAGGAGAAGATGTGAAGTTGATGGGTAGAAATTAGGACTCTGTGGAAAGCATTTTTACTGGTCAGAGCTGCCCGAGGATGGGATGGGCTGGCTGGAAGGGTCATAGTCCCTCAAGTCTGGGAGGGAGGCAAGAAGCTTGCTGGGATGTTGAATGTTGTAGGAATTTGAGGATCTCTTTGAGGGAGGGGAGGTGACCAAGGAGATTTAAGGCCTCCATCATCCCTGAGGATGTGTGGTTCTCTAAAATTCTTCATTGTTTGTGACCTTGTCCTAAGCACTGTGAGACTGTGGCGTCCATAGGACTGAGGTCTTAGAGTTGCACCTGTAAAGTGGATCATCATACCTCCCCCGTAGGGTCATTGTGAGGGTGATAATCACCCACCACAGTAAATGGGAGTTCCCCAAAATTGACCTGCTGGGAGCAGCGTCCACACTGAAGGGCATGGCTTCCTGAGGCCATGGTCACAAGACCTGACTCATCTTATCTCCTGCACTGCTCCTCCTTGTAGGCTTCCTCAGGAGCCTGCCTCTTCAGTGACGTAGGACAGGCTTGCCTGGAATGTGCAGTGCCTACACCCAGCCTGTCTCACAAGGCAGTTCATGCTGATTTCTCACTAGTTGAACTTTGGATCTGCTGAGTCCAGACAATTCCTGTCTGAGAACCACTTGCCGGGCCCTCTTTTCGCTCAGCAAACATTTACTGAGCACCTACTGTGTCCCAGGCCCTGCTGGGTGCTGGGTTTTAATGGTGATTAACACATGTTCCTGGACCTTAGGAAGTTCTCGGTCAGATAGGTAGACAAAAAACAGACATGATGATAGCATCCTTGTGGTAGAAGCAACCATAGGAAGACCCTGTCGGCTGGCCTCTGGGACATGGGGACAGGACGTTAGGGAGTAGGGGGGTGCTTCCTGGGAGAAGGGATGCTTGAGTTCAGGTTCCTCTTGAAATCCTTGTTAAGATTCAAGTCTAATTTCTTGAGATGCATGTAGAGTCTCCTAAGAAGAAAGACAAGGATCCTGGGTTTTCTCAACCCCTCTCCCATTGGTGCTTCACGTATAGACATCGTCAGTGCTTTTTGACCTCCATGTGCTGGGCTTGCTCATCCTCATCCTTTTTGACCTCATCCTGCTGGGCATCATAGGCAGAATTATTACACAGAGTCCTGGTCTTAAGAGTAAAAGGTCATATAGGAAAACAAAGGGATGTATTTCATGAAAAGAGAACCCCCAAAATCAAAGGTAGATACTAGAGAAGCTGGTGATGTATGGACTAGGTCAAGGTCTTTGGACCCCCTTGGAAACTGACCTAGAGAGAACTGGAAATAACTCGGGAGGTACTGGCCCCTCCAAGGCCAGCACCCATCCGGCCACACTAATGAAATCAACCACCTGAGGCTTTAAAGGCCGGACTTACTTTTTACTCTTTCTGTTCTGTCTTGTGTCTTGCATCCCAAGGGGCTTGTCCTTTGGCCTCCTTCCCCATCTGAAGGTCTGGGATCTCTGTGGGATCAGAGTGCCTCAGGATAACGGTTATAGTGTAAGCCCATCAGAAACAGGGAGCTGTACTTCCCCTACAGAGCTCGATTCAGTCAATAAATATATATTGAGCTCCTACTGTGTGCCGGGTGCTTTGGATCGTAACATCCCAACTTGAGAATCTCGTCATTGAGCTTCAACCTGAGAGTCTTTTCACCCAGATTCCATCCTTTAGTGATAAGGTTTCTACTAGTCCGTGATGTCTTCCTCGCCCTCTCTCTCTCCCTGGGAGGGTTCATTTGCTGGGTTGGCTGTTTTGCTGTGAGCAGACGGGAAGCAGGGCTGAGATGAGAGTGACAGGGATTGAGTAGGGATTACAGACCCATCAGCCCTCAGAGGCCAGAAGAGAACATGCTTGGATGAGAGAAGGGGATTAGTTTTATTTTTATTCCTGTGAGCGTGGGGGAGGCTGGTGGACTGCACGGAGCTAAGGGAGAGATGGTTGTCCATGTTGACCTCTCCCTTTCAGTGCTCCCTTCCCCTTCTGTCAAAATTCCTGCCCGTCTTCCAAACTCATTCTTTACAGGTAATGCTCCCTAACGGCAGCCTAGAATATTCTCCCTCCATTCCGGCAGCCTGCATGGGCTGTCTATCGCTTTGTAGCAAAATACCTTTCTTCTGTTGTCAGTTGGGTTTTTGGTTACCATGGAGTGTGCTTAAAACCACCTTCGGTTTTTTGTTGTTGTTGTTGTTGAAGAAGATTGGCCCTGAGCTAACATCTGTTGCCAATCTTCCTCTTTTTGCTGGAGGAATATTGGCCCTGAGCTAACATCTGTGCTAATCTTCCTCTATTTTATATGTGGGATGCTGCCACAGCATGGCTTGATGAGCGGTGTGTAGGTCCGCGCCTGGGATCCGAACCTGCGAACCCCAGGCCACAGAAGTGGAGCATGCGAACTTAACCACTACGCCACTGGGCCAGCCCCCTTCTGTTTGTTTTTTATAAATTGGACTCTTTTCCTCCCAGGTCCTGTTGTCTTTAAGATCGATGGTTCTATTA